ATGGTGTGGGTCTTAGCGGCTGTGTAGCTACCATAATGTCAGTGATCGAACGAGTCAAGATTGAACAAACAGTTGATGTGTTTCAAACCATTAAACTGATTCGAGCTAAAAGGCCTGGTGCTGTGAACACCCTGGTAAGTTGCTAAGAAATGACGAGGGATACTGGGACTGTGTTCATCAACGAATTATTTCTTTGCTCAACTTAAAGCTCTATCTGCTGTTCGTTTTTCAGGATCTCTACTCGTTCTGTTACAAGACAATCCTTGCATACCTGGATTCTTTCAAGTGTTATTCAAACTTTGAAGATTGCTAAATTGTCAGTATTTGACAGTTGTCGATGTTTGCGTACCGTCAGTCAGTCAGTTTGTCAGTCAGTGAATTGATTAGCTGGTTGGTCTCTCAGACACAAATAAATTCAATACAACAACAATAATGATAGAAATGATGATCTTATTGGTAAATTGGTACTAGTAGAGCGCGTACAATAGTTAGCTCTTCAATATGGTTAGCTTTTTAATAAATATCACGTGCTGATTTTCTGAAGGGAAAAGCTCTCGAGTTTGTTTACCAAGAAAGTGCTAATCAGTAGTTGCAGTTAAATAGCATAGAAAGGGAACTTAAGTTTTGTGTAACCATGGTAATGATAATCAAATGATCTTTAAAATTCATCTCTGACTCCAAGACTAAAAGTTTGAACCAAGAGCAGTTTATAATCAGACTGAAAACCAGTAAACAAAGCTTAATTTGTGGTAAATCTGTAAAGATTTACTGGGAATTGTATTATATTCCTTCCAAATTCTATAATTTGTTCATTCGAAAAGAGACAAAGATAAAGTAGTATTTTAAAAATTGGTGTTTTTTTTTATAGTTGATAGACAGAGCAGTTAGATAATGATACTGTCGATTAGAAATAATGTTATTTGAATAGCTTTACGAGCTAGTAAAAAATGAAATTCATAAATCTGTCTTTGTAGACATTAAGTACAGTACTGATGCGTTGTCGTTTTACGAGAGTTAAATGAAAGGAAAAAATTTAACTGTACACGAGTACTCTTAGCACAAGGTTAACTGTGTTCAAATAAACTTTTCTCTTCAATCAAACAAACGTTGTAAACTATAGGTACATCAGTTATCCCGTTGACAGTAAAGGTTATACAGACACGTAACACTGAGAAGCCGTTTGGTTGGTGTCGTTCTTCATTATTATATGAAGAGAACACGAAGGAAAATTCTCTGACAGGCTTGTATAGAATCTTGTTCTGACCAGAATTTTGATCTATTCGATTGGTTATTTAGCGTACATCCACCTAGTTTGTGCATGTCTTGCTCCTCCGAAAAAGTTTGATGGTTGCAAATTTTAAAACGGTGCTTCAGGTCACGGTTTCGCGTAGGGTCAAATTATATCTAAGAAAACATGAGTCTTTAACAGTAACTAAAACCTTAAACTCTGATCTCAATGTGTGGGATTTGTTTCTTGATCAGGATGCGTATCAAACACTCGAGATAGTGTTTGATTACATTTTCAAACACCTCGAAACTCAGAAAAATAATCTGTGTCCTTTTGTGTTTTTGTTTCCTATAACTCTGATTATGCACCTGTAATTCAGTTTTATCACAGGTATAACCACGAAACCTGAGCATGAACTAACTTTTGACACTGCCACTTCGTCTTTAATTCCACATAATGAATTCTACAAAAGAAGATGTTTTGCTAGTACAAAATCGACGTGGGATTCTGGACAGACAAAAGATAAAATGAACTCGCATTTTTTTCTCAACGGTGTTACATTGGTGACATGAAATGTGATCTATATTCATTTTTCATGTTGATCATCTAAAGTTGTTATAAAGAGACAAACTACCGTAGGAAACGAATTCTGAGAAATTAAGGGCCGGTTCTCTCTGCAAGCAGTGGGCTCACGTATTCTCTTTAATAGATTTGTTTTCATTTAATAAATGTCCTACTTCGAGCTTTCGGCCCACACAAATAAATGTCCAGATAACAGATTCAGCTAAATTCAAGATAGTTTAGATCGCGGTTTTGTTAAACAACGCGGCTAAACTTTGTCTAAAGAACTGCCCTTAAATCTTCGATCGTTTGTTCCTCTTTGAAACAATTTTAATTTAATACACCTTCCGCCGTCACCCTTTGTAAATCACTTTGCTATATTCTTGATCATTATATGTTCATCGCTATCGTGAAAATGAAAACCGCGACAATCGGCTTTTAAAATTTAATTCAAACGAAGAAGTTTCGAGGTCTATCTTTGCAAAGGAATAAAAAGAGTATGTTTCAAAAGAAACCTTATGTCAAAAAATATCGATATAAAACCAGTATTGTGTCAGCAACGAGACGTCGTTGACTCAGCTGATTAATTACCTGAATTGTCGTACCAAATGAAGAAGGTCTTTGACGTAAGCAAATGACGTTTGTCTTCTCCGAGGAACATTCAAAATTGAGCTTTTCTTATTAATCTATCAATTTACTGTGTGCTCCTATCTTTTTGTTTTATCTTGGTTATTGTGGCTTCAAAGAGATTGATTCTAATTATTTCTTTCGACGTGATCGAAAAGTGTACATATTTCGGCATCACCCGAGCCAGACGAAGCACAGGAGATCTATCGAATAGGTCCCTCCCCCGCAGATGATTCTGTGGCGTCTTTCCCGAAGCGAATCAAGCTGTAAATTCCTGCAAAACAGAGGTCATTTTTTGTCTTTTGGTGTTTGTTCAAGCGAGTGGGTTGAGGAGCGATTCGCGTATTCCCTTGCCTGGATACACGAAAAAAAACGCTTCTTCTATAGGCTAACTTCCTGTGCGGTCAAACGACTACTCTGGAAGTTTTTTTTAACAGTTTTCGAGTATAACGTAACATGGTATGGAACACTGGAGATATCAGTTAAACCTTACAGCTTCGTATTTTTTCACTGGTCTGTTAATCTGTGTTTTTGTCGAAAATCTTCGGAATATGGAGATTCTAGAGCTGTTTTTGTGAGGCAGAGAGTTGTCACAAAAACTGAGATGGAGAACTGAATTAGTGGTAATGGTTTTACGAGAGATGTGCTGGAAAGAAAAAAAAAGAGAAAAGAAGAACAAAGATGGTCCGGGAAAGTGATATTCTGACCTATTAACTCATAGGACTAACAGAAATAAAGGAAGTAAGTTTCTAAAGAAACTGTGGTGCTAGGTCAGTAGGGGGTATAACCTGATAATTTGGTTTTATCAACTGAGTTGATAATGTAAACTGGTCACCGTAAAGAATTTCTTTAGAGATTCTCCATAATCTGTGGCCTTACCTTGTCAAGGTACACAAGTGGAAAAACAGGCCTACGCAGGACATTTGATACATAAGTTTTCCTTTCCAGATTCTTACGAAATAATTTTCTTTGATAAAGGTTATTTTTAATTGTTTTGGCATACAAATCACGATTGACAAGTTTCAGAAACACTAGGTGTTTCCGTATCACGAACAACATTTCAGTTTCTCAAAGGAGAGAATTAGCTTTTTTAAGATGCAAAAGGCCATCAAACTGAAACATCAGGAGTCAGCTAGCAACATCTCAGTTTTTCAATGAGTTATGAAGTAACAACAGCGGCGAAAAGTCGGAGTTTGACTCCGAGCTGTACTTCCGAGTGGCTTTCTTCGCTTTTCTTATTCCTCTCGGTTCCGGTAAGTTCTCTATCATTCGTAATTTGAGTTAAGGGCTTAACGAATCCACAGACTTTTTTTCGCAGTGACTCGAAAGATATGAGATGATTAAATTCCATTTCATTCTGTTCAATTAACAAACTGTCGCATTCGAAATGTCAGCCGAAAAGAATGTTGGACAATCGCGTACGGTGTGAGAACAGGTCCTTAAATCAACATCTACTGGGTTAAAGCGGTAGCTTGAAAGAGATCAGAACTTTTGTCGGAACATAGAACTAGCTCGCTTCGTTATCGATAAAATTATGACGTCCTCTTAATTACACGCTCATCACTCTTGGAGAGGCATCTTTGAAAGCCCTGATTATAGGAGGAGTAGTCCAGAATTTCGAGGATTTCGATTGCTTTCCCTCTCTTTTACTTTAAATAGTTTATGCACGATATCGCGCCTTTACTTGAATTTACGAGCTGTCGTATTTCTTGAACACAGAGTTGTGTAATTGTTAAAATTTGGCACTGATTTCAAAATACTCCATTAGCTTTCCGTTTTGGTGGACAAACTAGTTTGATACATTTACTGCAATTTAGTTGCTGCTGAAGGCAAGGAGTTAACGATACTATGGCGATTATTCAACCTCACTCGTAGACGTTCAAGTATTCGATGTATATTCATAAGACATGGCATGCAACAACTACTAAATAAACAATCAATATTTCAATAGACATTTCATTCCTGTTTAGTCGTAGAAATTTTTCTAACGCCGAGAAACTGAGATTAGCAAAGACCTTTAATGAAATTCCCAAATCAAGGTAAAGCTCTGAAACAGCCTTCAATACTAAGCCAAGAATTTTGGAAAAGCGTTTCAGATTTAAGTGACGCGTTGCTCGAGGGTCACAAAATATCCCGACAGATGTTCTCAAGGTATAAACAAAATTTGCGCTGGAAAGTGAAATTTTGAAATGTCTCAAATTGAAAATGTTCTAGGGAAAACATTAGTTTCAGTAAATAATGGGGCACATTACACCAATCGTTAGTCCAACTGATGATGTCATCGATAAATTTATCACGTCGAATCTGCTCTCCAGAGTTTCATTAACGACCAGTTAAACGACAGAATGTTACTAGAACAATTCCTTAAAGACCATATGGTAGTTGTAACACCAATGGCCTGTTCACATGAAAGTGGGGGATCCCAGGTAAGTAAGGTAACCCGCCTAACTGTGGTCGAAAAATAGTCCGAGTTTACACACAATCTTACAACCCCTTTCTTTGGGCTTACCGGCCTGATAGCCCCATTGGGATGTTGGGAGAAAACTTGGAACGTTTTTAAAATCATTTACCTCTGGCTCATGGGATGCTGGGACAACAGTTGAGAAGTTTTTAAATAAAGAACCGGAAGTGAGCGACTTATGAATTTTGCGAGTGTTCTCCCAACATCCTGAGTGGGTTGTTACGCTGGTGAACCAATGAAGAGCGTGGTCTTTTACTTTTATGAAATAACCATGGGTTTAATGGTACAACAAACAGTAGGTTTTTGACCAATCAGGGTGCTTTTAGTTTCACAGATATAATATAGAGCGTTGTATTGTTACTGTACTTGTGTATGGAAAGCTGAAAGGAAGTGCTGGTGGCAAGTTGTATTAACACGAAATATCTTAATACCTTAGTTTACTTACCGGATGCTGGGTAAATGTCCATCTTCAATACATTTAGACATGGGATGATGGAGTTGAGGCTTATATGTATCGGGAAATTTGTCATAAACTACAATTAAACCCTGTTGTTTTGAGTTGTTGCTTTAACCCTTTGCACAGTAACATCAGCATGCAATTTTTCTATACTGTTCTTTATACATGTCCTAAGGTATTCACAAGTAGAGTTTGTCCAAGAGTCAAGACCCTCTTGACTTTGCAACAATTTTCTTTCTTCTGGTGACGTTAATGTTTGATTCAGTGGTGATTCCGTTTAGAGAAATTAGATGATTATTCACAAGTTTCATCGCTCAAACAGAAAAATATTTCGAATGAAAACTTACAAAAATAAAAGAAAGGCAGAGGTAATTAAGTCAAACTACCAAACAAAGCTTTTTTTGATTTTTATTCTTTTATTTTTTGCAGGAAGTTTACCAGTAAGACTAAACTTGATACACTTTGTGTATTAGAACCCTTTACTAAGCCTAGTTTTCCATACCGGCATGCAAATTTATCCAAAGAGGGTCTACCAGAACAATTACAATGAACCTGTCCTGTATGAAAGAGAGAAGATGGAGGTTTGTTAAGGGGATCTATGGGTACCTCTCTAATTTCTTTTCCTTCTACTCAGCTGACTGCGTTGATCTGGATCTGGGAATGGAACATAAGAGAATTTCAGATGGTAACATAACCGCTTCTTCAGTTCAAAATGCCAATACACCAGCCAAGAATGGTCGACTGAACTACACATCAGGATCATCATGGTGTGCGGGACCAAGTGACACTAACCCGTATCTACAGATTGGTTTACAGACACTCTATATCATCTGTGCTGTTTCCACCCAAGGGAATTCTCAAGCAGATCATTGGGTGAAAAACTACATACTTCAATTTTCCAATGATGGAACAACTTGGATGTTCTACAGAGAAAATGGACAAATTAAGGTACCGTGTCAAAGACCATGTCACTTGGCTTTTATTGATATTTAATTGCAGTTGTCTGCAAAATAAATGAAATTTTGACTGCCTCTTTGTTTGACACATGCTCCAGAGTGATGATACATTCCTCATGAGATCTGGTTGGGAACATCAATCTGTGAAGAACTTTGATTTTTCACAAAACGATTAATGGAGAACATTAAGCTGTTTTTATTGTCACTCTGTAGACAAACTCCATCCCCATGATACTCAAGATGTCTGATAGAAAATGAGGATAGATGTCAAAACTGAATGCCATTAGACTTGCTAAAAACCTTATTTAAACAAGGTTTTATTGTTTAAAGGAGAGAGGAGGAGTACAAAGATGAGGGAAAAAAAAACAAGATGCTTCAACCATTAGAAGATTGTTATCATTTTTATTTATATATTTTTCTGGAAATAGATGTACATCTTTAAAATTTTTAGCTGTGGGTTTTGATTTCAGACCTTTCAGGGTAATAGTGACAGAGCCTCAGAGGTGAAGCATGTTCTTTATGAAAGTGTTGAAGCACACTACCTGCGAATCTTGCCAGGTGCATACCATGGTGCTGTGTGTATGAGAATAGAAGTGTTCGGTGTTAAGCGAAAACCAGGTCATTATTTCATTAATTACCTTTTACTACATAATAGCCAAATTCATGAAAAAGTTTCTTATCAAGGCGCATAAACTACTTCACATACAAAATTATGCTAAGGATAAAACCTCTCTTGAAAATGAGATTTATCTGCTTTAGAAGAAGAAGTGCTTTTCATGGCAAAGTCTTAGAATTCTACATCATTTTCAATTCAGACATTTTATAAATGGCCTTGGTAAGTGATGGGTGAGTTGAACTTAAGTATGGTGGAGCTAGTAAGGCTCAAACAATGAAAATGCAAACCATAACTTGAAAACATGTTGTAGTTAAATGCTTTTTTAGTACTGTCATCCTTTTGATTTGCCCTAAAATACTAAAGCTCTACACAAACGGTAAGTACATTCATAAATATTGACAGATGTGGAATTCATGCATGCTTATTTTTTAGATCAATGGAAATCCTATACATTTGGTATCTGGAACAAAGAGTTCACACCATTTTTTAACAGGAGATCATTGCATTGTATTTGTCTACACTTACTTGAGAGTTAATTAACTCTGACATTAGTTTATCTTAGCAGGCTGATAGAGATGTTTGTAGAATGCAAAACTAAAACCTTTGTTGATATCTATTTCATTTCTGTCTTTACACAGTGAATGTTGCCCTTGGGAAGGCCACCCTTCAGTCTTCAACATTTAATAATACTGATTTGGGTGTGGCAGGTGTGGCAGGTAAAGCAGTGGATGGTAATACTGACACTGGATTCAGAAATGGAAGCTGTACACATACTCTGTCAAGCAATCTAAGCTGGTGGAGAGTTGACCTGGGTTCAGATAAGGTTCCAGTCTCTGACATATTCATAGTCAACAGATTTTCAACATATTGGGATGTGATGGCCAGAAGCATAAATTATAACATTACTTTGGGTGAGCAGTCACTATAATTTTCATGTAATAAATATGAGATAAGTTTAAGACAAATGGGTACATTAAAAGTATTAAAAACAAAGGGATTTCCAGTGTACAAGGTTGGAAAACCATAGTTTTCTGCTCAATCTCAACCCATTTATGTACAAGTTTTACCATGCAAAAGTGTGTAAAATATTATGTGAATATAAAGAAAAATGTTGTAGAGGGACCGGAGTTATATGTTGCTTTTTCAGTTTGATGTTTCTGTTGCTGCTGAATAGAGATATTTGAACCCCTCAATATACTTTATGTATTTTAAAAATCATTATAATTAGTTGCTTCAAACAACAATGATGGATATATATTCTATTTATTGTCAGTGGTTCAATTAAACACTAACATTTACATGTACATGCACGCAAAATCTTATTTTCCTTTGAAATAATGTGTCCTACCAAAACTCACTTTAGAGGGTAAAAAACAAGTTTATATCATTAATGAAATACATTTATACAGTAGTTTGTCACATATTTGGCATGTACATAGCATTGAAGTGAACTATCATTTTTTTTTTATAACATCAGGTAACAACCCAATAGTAGTAAACAACACTCAGTGTAGAGGACTCTACAGTTTTGTTAACTTCAAAGCATCAGCTGTTTGTTTTACCAACCCACTGATTACTGGCAGATATGTAGGGATATCAAAAGTAAGGGGACAAGCTCTTCAACTCTGTGAGGTGGAAATCTATTTGCGAGGTACATGTCATTAAACACAGAGATTGGTATTGACTAAAGATCTATGTAGCAAAACTTTGAAAGTTTTTGTTAAGTTGAGGTGACACTGTTAGTTCCAAAATCTTTTCTGACCACACTTTTAATGTGACAATAGGCTGATTAACATAATTGCATGTGTCATTTCAGATAATCTTGCTTTTGGAAAACAAACAAATCAAAGTAGTGTAGAGTTTGGTGGTGTAAGTAGCAGGGCAGTTGATGGTATCAGTAACACAGACTATTACGCTAACAGCTGTACCCACACTGACAAAGAACTCAACCCTTGGTGGAGAGTTGACTTGGGACAAGTTGAACCAGTCTCAGAAATATACCTAGTCAACCAAGAAAACCAGTGGTTTTACAGGCAGAATAACTTTGAGATCAGAGTGGGTAGGTTAGATGATTTTTGAAATTTTAACACAATACCATAGTGTCAAAATGTTTCAAGCGATCACGTCTCATTAAATACTTGTAGTGTCAAATTATCTCCACACTTCGACAGGTGGGTCTAATTCAAGTTTATCTATGCCTATATGTAGGGAAACATTAAGCAGAAATTTTTGTCAAGTACATCATGACAATGAATTATCACTTTCATTCTGCTCTACTTGTCGAAGATATGAGGGAATAATAGGGGCTGGACCCCGGATCTGAAGGTCCAGTTTGTGGCCTTGGTTTTGCACTGTGTTCCAGGATTGGAGACTTTTTTCTCATTATTCCCCTTTAAAGTTAGGAATGCAGAATTTAAATGGATGCTTAACAATAAACACCTGCTACAAAGGATTAGCTACTCTTCTGTTATGGTTTAATTCATAGTGTAAACCAGGCCCAGTTGTTGGGCAGATAATGCTATTGAACAGTTAAATCGCTATCCAGTGGATAAGAGTTAGCAAATGTATTACACTATCCACTGGGTAGATCAGATTTATCCAGTGGATAGAATTGTCCTACACTCCAGCATCTTTTGATCTCCTGTAGTGTCAGCCCTTTGGCTTCATGTAACACTCTCACACCATTGTGTAATGATAGTAGTTGGGTAAACAAGTTCTTGATTACTTTTCCTGCCATAGCCTAAATTGTTTCTCGATTCTTTATAGGCATAGTATCTAATAATGGAGGAATTACCAATCCCAGGTGTGGTGATAATCAGAGTTATAGTCTTCCAAGAGGAAAAGGTGTATCCTTTTTCTGTCGTCCTGTATTATTTGGAAGATATGTGACGATAAAAAGCTTAAGAACTGACTTTGAATCCTTCTCGCTTTGTGAAGTTGAAGTTTATTCTGAAAGGAGAGGTAATACATCATATCAAATACCTATATATGTTTGAAAACCTCATATGGATTTAAGTTTTAAGTTATTGCACAGAGAAGTTGTACTAATGTACACTATTTCTACATACATGCATGCATGATCATTTTCTGAGCATAACTGATGTGCCTTGTTGGTATGGTTGAACCTGTTTATATATTTTCAGCTTGGTAAACTTAAACTTCCTGTAGGCTCAATCTTACAGCCATTTTCCTCAATTTTTTTTTCCATGCATTTACTATCAGTATAGTATTGAGAATAGACCCACTACTTCAAATAATTCTTGATTCCTTTTAGAGTTAGAGGGATTTCTGTTGTAGTTTCAAATGCAATTTGAAACTTGTATGCCGGCAGAAGTTCTCGTTATGCTTGACCTCACAATAAAACCATTCTTAGCCTTTACTCTAGGATATTTAAGTGACAGTTCTCTCTGCCGTGCTTTTACTGTGCCTGAGGTACAATTCGATCAAATTTTTTTCAAACCTATAATTATGCTAAGTGGAAAACACCGGTACAATGTTGAACATAGGTTATTGTCATATATATAGTGAAAGTCTGGTGCTAGAAACCAAAAAAAAAATTTAAATCAATACACCTGACTTCATAAATGAAAACCACGGGATTATTAGACAGCTTTGATATGATATTATTTTAAGTGAATCTTACATAAATGCAAATTAGTTTTGTAGCGGCACGTTTGCTGTCTTAAATACTAGTGTGTTGTATACATCTGCTTATTAATTTAAATCAATTCAACATTTTATTATGATTGATTACAGCTTGCCAAATGCAGGCCATAGGTGTGGCTAGCACTGACACACTTCCCGATGCCACCTTCTCAGCATCAACTGAAAGTACAAATTTTGAAGCTTCTAGAGGTTGACTGAATGCATTAAAGCGATGGTCACCCAGCAGCAATCACAGACCTTATGATCATCTGCAAATTGATCTGCAGTATGAGTTTCTTATTTGTGCTGTAGCTACTCAAGGGAGGTCAACTTTTGATGACTGGACAACTGAGTACAAGTTACAGCTATCCTTTGATGGTTCCACTTTTGTGACTTTTACAAGGAAAACAATGTTGACAAGGTTGGTTAAAAAAGGCACAGCTGAGATTAAATACAGAACTGTAAAAGATTTCTTAGAGTTCTACCAAAGGGAGATTTTAAGAGCTACATATATGTGAGGGTCTAAGTATCAAACTCTGAACTTTGGAGAAAGTTTGTGGAATGGTTGTTGTGTTCTTAGACTTAAATGGAAGGTCACAATCTTAATATGCATTTCTCCGCATCATATACTGAGATTTAAATAGCAATGAACATCTCTCGTGGGTGGACATACATGCATGTCTCTAAAAGCAAGGAACTTACATGTATATAATGGGGCTGTACAAGCATTCTGAGGAAGTTCAATGTGTATGCAGAATACCAAGTTGCCTGTCATATATGCATAATGTAAATTGAATTAACTGACCTTATGAAGCAGGAAAAAGAGAAAAGGGCCTCTAAAGTAGTCTAGAGCATGTAATAATAACATTGTTCCAGAGTCTGCTATGGCCAACAACAATAAAATTGATATTCAGTTAAATAATGAGCTCATACTTTGAATTAATTGTTTTAGACTTTCAGTGGCAATTCTGGAAGACATGACATTGTCAAACACAATCTCAGAGATGTGAGGGCAAGGTTCATTCGTTTCCAGCCTGTCAAGTTTTTTAGAAACAAAGCTTTGAGAGTAGAGGTGTATGGAGTTCTTATATCTAGAGGTATATTATGTTTAATTTAAAATCATCAAATTTTCACATTCAGTAATTATAAGGCTGGTATATTGGTTAATTTAGTACATAGCCTCTTTGGTCATTGGATGTAGTTTATTTTTGTGAATACTACCTGTAGGTGACCATCATGTACAGGTGTATATGTAGGCAGAATTAATAAGTGCCATTTTCCACAAAAAAGGCCTTAACCTACAGCTGTATGACTCTCAGTCATGGAGTTGGATATGTACCTATGTTATGTTGGTGGTAGTCTGCATGTCTAAAGGAGTCTACAGATAGGAAGTTGATTTGTTTGAATCCGTTTTGGGATGCATTCTTCCCCCATTTACATAGTTGATTACATATATTTGTTCCCAACAATATCTAAGACTCCCTACAAATTAATACTTTTAAAACTGTGCAAGACTTTTCACTAACTAGAAGAGTAAGGCTTGGTTGAATTTGATCTCTTAAATAGCAGATGAATTGATTTTTATAAGCAAAAAAAAAAGAATATTGGTAGCAATATTGTTGTTATTATTATTATTTTTATTATTATTATTATTATTATTATGATCATCAATATAATTATTGCCATTATTCAATTATCATTCTGTCTAAATTTCAGTCCCTTCACAAGCACCCAGTGAATTGACTTTATCTGCAACCTCTTCTGCAAGTATTGCTGCATCCTGGCGGTTACCTCCTGCATATTCCAGACATGGAATCATTGTAGGGTTTAAATTGTTCTATAAAAAGAAAGGGTTCAGGTCAATTCGTGTGGAAACAATCAATGGCGGAACAACCTTTTCTGTGGAAATTAATGGTCTGGATAATTACACAGAATATGAATTTCAAGTGTTGGCTTTTACATCTCATGGTAATGGACCAAAGAGTTCTATTGTGGTGGAGAGAACATTGAAAGATGGTAAGAAATTTGATTGTTTGTGGCAGTGGCACTTCCACTCCTACTGGTTTTCAAGAGCCTATCATATTTTAAAAGTTGGGTTGACATGAATGAAAGTGCAGTAATATGTTTGACTGTGTATATATGTTGAAATCCTAACAAAATATTTATTAAAAAGTGTAATCCCTAGAATCTGATCATTAAGTTTCCTTGTAACTTAGTCAAGAAAATCTGTTTTCTTTTTCCACTAGTTAGGTCTTTTTAGGTCTTTAGTCTTAAAACTGTTAAGCAAAATGCTTTTTATCTATCTTATTTTGAATCAATATCAGCATCCAAGCAAATGCATACCTAACCCAAAATTAACTCTACTTACTCTCAGTTGACTGTTCTTGAGTAAGGGGAGGGGTAGTTATGCAGTTGCTTAGATGTTGACAGTAATATTTTATTTCTGTGAGTTTATGGATTATGCTCACTATGGCAAATGAAGATGTAAAATGTAAAACACACTCTAATACATAATAAACCAAACTAAGTGCCAGGTATGCGAGTTAACACTTTTAATTTACATTTGGTCACCTTGCAATTCTTATCATAATTATTTTTATTAGTATATTTGTTATTCTATTTTCACTTAAATGTAAATTTTTTTTAAATGTAAAATTCTGATTACATTAATAAAAGCGCCTTGATGCCTCCAGCTCTATGATGAGAAAGGCCATAATCTGGGTTGAGAGCAGGTTTTTTGCTCTCGTTTCCCCTTCTATGAATTTTAATGCTTAACTGTTGTCTTTCAATTTTCAGAGTCACCTAAATATACTAAAGAAACCATAAAGGGAGATGCCAGTGAGTATTGTGGGGACACAAGGAGCTGGTCTTAATTTTTGATAAAACAGCGCTAATAAATCCATAATTAAACAGCATGTTGGAATAATCTAATAATAAACATTTGATTCCTCTCAAAGCTATCACTTGATTCCTTCATTATCTTCTCCAATTTTAATTGAGACAGATTTTCATATCTGGTGTAAATCTCTCTTATTTTCTAAAAGGTGAATGCCATGTCCTTCGGGCTGCTGTCGTCGCTCTTTGTTGCATTGTTTTCGTCTTGCTCATTGTGATTGGTGCGCTAATATGGCGGTTGAGACGAACTGAGCCTAACAAAAAGGCAACCACAGTAAACAGTGGTATCCCTGCCCCATCTGGTGGTCGTCAAGTGTCAGAGCCTAGTGTTTATATGGAACTCCACCCCAGGCCTTCGGAAGGGAAGTCACGTGAACCTTCTGAGTACCAGTCATTGCAGGACACTCAAGTGACTTCCAATTATTACAATATGGGATTCAAGAGAGAAAGGTCAGGGAAGAAAGACGGCGGAATGTAGGAGAATTCGCACAGTTGAATACTTAAGTCTCCTCTTGACGCTTGATTGATCTAAATTGAAGCTGCCCGGTAGGTTGTGGGTCTGTAAGCCCTATAGACAGTTTGTTGTTGAATATTTAATTTAACGAACATCAGAACGTTCGTAAAAGCTAACCACATGATGAATTTTCGTAAGAGACTAACTCTATAAAGAAATTTCGTGAAAAACCGACCGTATAATGAAACAAAGCAATAGTTAGGAAAAATTTTATCTTGTAAATGCAGAATTGAACGCTTCTACACTGCATAGTATACTTAGCCTTTGTTGTGTACCTGATGATATTCGCCCACATATTAACGGGGCACGGAAACACACAAACCTTTATACAAACTGTAGGAGTAACGCATGACAACTGAATTACCTGATGTACTGGTAATCGCTCATTATGAATGAAATTACATGCAGTAGAATGTAGAAATGAAAATTTTGAAATAACTCTGAGTCACTTTTAGCCATGTTGCTCTTAAGAGGAAACGATTTACCCCGAATTGTAGCCTAAGAATAGGGTAAAATGTATGGGAAGTCGAAGAGATGCTCAGCCAGGAGAACGTGCTCTTTAAATAGAGCAACCAATTCCAATACTGTGGTAGGAGTTGAATAAAGCAATGCACCGTTGAAAATGATTATTTTGTCTTTCCACAGTCCATATCGGTATCTTTTCGAACCAAACGATGCCTCGAAGAAAAATGTGTGGATTTTTTAATTTATGTTTCGAGTGAAAGATTTATTTTGCCTCTGGAAAATGTAAGCAATAATAGAAATACCAGGAACATTAAATCGCCTTTTTTCCTCTTGATAGAAATTCTACGACCAAATCTTTGAGTCGTTCAATTGAAAATATTAGATAGTTTTAGATTTACAACCGTATCATGGACTTCAAATATTACTAAAGGTCTTGTGACAAGTACCTTCACAACAGTCGAAAAAATATATCGATACAATATCAGTCTTATGCCTGAAGCGTGACGTCGTGGACTCGGCTGATCAGTCACCTGCTTTGTCTCGCCAATAAAAGAATGTTTTTGACGTCAGCAAATGACGTTTGCCTTTTTCTTACCAAAATTAAATCTAACAAGTATGTGCTCCTATTATTTGTTTTAACTTGGTTAGGGTGGCTTAATAAAAAAACACCTAAACCTTGACTCTGATCTTTTCTTTTTAAACCGATCGACCAGTGCCCCCCTTTTTGTATCACCCCAAGTAAGATGAAGTAAAGGGATCGATTGGATGCCCCCCCCCCTCCCCGCAAGTGATTCTGTGCCTTCTTCCCTGAGGCAGATCAAGCTATAAATTCCTACAGAACAGGGGAAATTTTTTTCGTTTTCCAAACAAGTGAAATAAAGAGGGGCTCGCGTCGACCAAGGTAAAGGAGGTAAGTTTCAATTGTGGTGCTAGGTCGGTAGGGGGTATAACCTGATAATTTGGTTTTGTCAACTGAGTTGATAATGTAAATTGGCCACCGTAAAGAGTTTCTTAAGAGATTCTCTATTAACTGTGGCCTCTACCTTGTCAAGATACACAAGTGAAAAAACATTCCCACGCAGGATATTTGAGCATAGGTTTGCTTTTCTAGATTCTTACAAAAAAGTTATTTCAATAAAGATTAGCTTTAAATGTTTCAGCACACAAATCATGATTGACAAGTTTATTTTATAACCAGTGACGTTCGCACCAAGAAACAATGAAAAACAAAGAAATAATTTAGACTTCCTGTAATAGTGCAACAGTTGTGGGAAAAACACCAGAGATTGTTGTAGAAAGTTTTCAAGTCATTTTTTTTTTATATATTCAGAAATTCTTTTTAGATTTCATGATTGCTTCCGTTGTCTTTTGCCTGTAGATCATCCCTTTAAAATAGAGGAGTCTAAACCCGTTTTGTCAACGCGTGATCTTTCGGTTAGCTGCTGAAACTCCGGGAACATATATGATAATGAGTTTAATTGTAACTTGGCAGATGCGCTTCAACGGAGATGGTGACCTTTTTAAGATGCAAAAGGCTATTGAGTTATGAAATAACAACAGCGGCGAAATGTTGGAGTTTGATTCCGAGCTGTACTTCCGAGTGGCTTTCTTCGCTTTTCTTATTCCTCTAGGTTCCGGTGAGTTCTCTGTCATTTGTAATCTGAGCATGCGAGTTAAGATCTGCACAAATTCACCGATTCATTTTTTTGGCAGTGACTCCTTAGATATGAGATAATTAAATTCCATTTCATTGCGTTCAGTTGACAAACTGTCGAGTCCGACCGAAAAATGTCAAGTTAATTCTATTATCTTCTTTAAAGCTTAAAAATCTGACAAGTTATTTTATTTTGATAGAGTGAGTTTGGGAGAATTCTAATGGCGATTTTCAAACGTATCTCGCATAGTATGAGTTACTTCCTGTTCAGAGGTAACAACGGCTCATCGACTGACTTCGTCGCTCGCCTTTTCTTAGTTTCGTAAGAGCATAATCTTGTCTACTTGGTTTCACGATATTTGTGAAGCGGTAGCTCGAAAGAGATCGGAACTTTTGTCGAAACTTTTGTCGGAACAGAACAAGCTCGCTTCGTTATCGATAAAAATATGACGGTCTCCTAAAGACACGGTCATCGCTCGAGGAGAGGTACCTTTGAAAGCTATGATTATATGAGGAGTAGCTTAGAATTTGAACGATTTCGATTGCTTTCCTTTACTTTTACTTCAAACAGTTTCTACACCATATCGAGCCTTTTCTTTAATTTCCGAGTTGTCTAATTTCTTGAACACAAAGTTGTGTCATTATGCAAATTTGGCACTGATTTCAAAATACTCCATCAAGTTTCCATTTTGGTATACAAACTAGTTCGATACATTTACTGCCATTTAGTTGCTGCTGAAGGCAGTGGGACAAAGCAGTTTAGCTATGACGATTATTCAGTAAAACAGCGCGAGCCAAATCAAAAGGGCAGAGAACTTCAAGGAAAAAGTAAACTGAAAGTTCAATTATGTTAAGAGGTTTGTCGTGACTTGGCATATTATTATTGACTATTGTTTTAACAAATGAGCAGGCAAACACGGCCAAAGTAGACAACTGTCTGACCAAGCGTTGGAATGAAGACATGTTCATCATTTTATTCGAACATTATACCATAATCAAATAGAAAATACAATTTGAATTGAATAAAGAATGACTCAGCTCGCCTCAGACGTAGGTGTTCAAGTATTCGATGTATATTCATGAGACACGACACGGAATAACCATAAAATAAACAATCATAAAGTGTTAATAGACATTTCATTCCTGTTAACTCATAGAATTTGCTTCCACGCCGAGAAACTGAGATTTGCAAAGACCTTTCATGAAAATCCCGAATCGAGGTGTAGCTCTGAAACAAACTTCAACAACAGACCAAGTGAAAAAGCGTTTCAGATTAAAGTGACGTGTTGCAAGGAGGGCCACAAAAAATATGAAGAAAGATGTTCTTAAAGCATAGCGACCATAACCAAAATTTGAGTCCTAAAGTGAAATTTTGAAATGTATCCAATTGAAAATGTTCTGGGAGTTAACTAGTTTCAGTAAATATTTGGGCACACTTCACCAATCGTTAGTCCAATCGATGATGTCATTGATAAATTTATCATGTTAAACTACTCTTTGGGGTTTCACCAACGACCAGCTAGAACAATTCTGTAGGGCCTGTTTACCAGAAAGTGGGGGACCCCAGGTTATTGAGGTAACCCTCATAGCTTTGGTTAGAAAATAGTCCGTGTTTACACCCAATCCTACAACCCCGGGATCCTGGGGGTGAGGTTGTTAGACAACATGTGAAGGGTGCGCAATGCCGCTACCAGAAACTGGGATCATTTACACTCCCTCCACGGTTCACAATGAACAAATCACTACAGGATTTAGCCTACGGAATTCGAGATTAATCGGCTTCAACCTGCATTTGCACTACGGCCTTTTATCTTTGTTAGCCTTTGATTATTTCCCGGTATAACTCTTTAAACCGTGTGACAACCTCTTTTCTTAATCACGTGACTAGCTTTGCAAGCTGAGTTATTTTCCCGCCAAAATCCAAGATGATGGCATGGTTACTAAGCATGCCACATTCAACATGGAGGACAGTAATCTCATTTTGAACCAAGTTACTACATCTGTTTCATAACTTAAACGATCATAAAACGCCTAGGTATCCAGGTAAATAACAAGGTAGTTTTTCGGGCTGAATACATCCTGAAGAAATGGTATCGATAGTAGAAATGTCGTACTAGATATTAATAGTTGTTCATTTACCTTGAGTTAATATGGTTTTATGTCAAATTTTATAACTTTCTGTTTTTAACTTTTTTATAGGGGTATGTATCGATTTGGATCTTGGTTTGGAAAATGAGAGAATTTCAGATGGTAACATAACCGCTTCTTCAGTACAAAATGCCAGCACACCAGCCAAGAATGGTCGACTGAACTACACATCTGGATCATCATGGTGTGCAGGAACAAGTGACACTAACCCATATCTACAGATTGATCTACAGACACTTCATATCATCTGTGCTGTGTCTACTCAAGGGAATTCTCAAGCAGATCAGTGGGTGAAGACCTACAAGCTACAATTTTCCATAGATGGGACAACTTGGACGGACTACAAGGAAGTTGGACAAGTTAAGGTGCAATGTTTTCTAAGTAATGACAATTTGAGTACAAAAATACAACTTGTTTTACATGTATTTCATGTAGTGAAAAATACATGAACATTGTCCTCACAAATCAGATTTTTCTGTACTAACATAGGCTGCCTTTTGTAACAATCTCATTTTTTCTTAACCTAGTCACCAATTTACTTGAAGCCTACAGTAATTTTCATTATGTATCTGTAATATTATTTAATGTTATAACTTTTGAAAATCTTAGTTCTTCATGGGGAATGATGACAGAAACTCAGTGGTGAAGCATGTTGTTTATAGACTGCTGACAAGATATCTGCGTTTCTTGCCACAAACTCACCAGGGTGGGGTGTGTATGAGAGCAGAGGTGTTTGGAGTGAAACAAAAGCCAGGTATATGTGCAGGCATGATAATATTACATAACCAAAGGAGATGCAATATACACATTTCATATATCACCTGCAATACCTGTGGGCAACATGAAGTGAATCCTATGTTCTGATTGGCTACCTGAGCTGGCAAGATGAGCCAATCTTGCCTGCTCAGGATTGCTTTCTTTGATCCTGTGGAAGAAAAGGTGGACTTATAAAGTTAGTAACTTTTGCATAATTTTAGCAATAAAGTCATAAAAAGTGGCAGAAGACAGTCAAAACAAACAAAAAAAAAACATAAGTAACCTTTTGTGGGTTTATTGTGTTACAAACACAGCTTTTTTTTTGTGGCTCTCGAAATAAACAAGTTGTTCTTTATTCTACTTAAAACGAGGTGTTTTTGCTATGTACATGTAAGAAATCCTTTATTGATCATGCTTGTGCAGTTTAGATGGCAGGATATTGACCTGGTTATTTTTTTGCATTTTTATTGACCTGCACTTTATCTTTGTCAATAAAAAAAAATAACTTGGCCAGTAGACAGCCATCTTGACCTCATGCTTTGTCAACAACCATTTACATATGTAGATTTTATATTCTGGTATTCTTTGATACTTTTTGAAAGGATTTGCTTCCTTAGGAAGTTATTTGTTCAAACTCAAGTTTCTTTGAGATTATCTTTGTGGAAGGTTTTGTCATTGTCAAGTCTGTAATAATTTTCAAATTTCATACTTACTCTACAATATATAAGACAGCCCAAACACTTGATACAAGAACTAACTGACTTGAGCTCAAGATTTATGACTTTATCAGAAAAAACCAACAAGTATAGCTAAGCAGAGGCTTGGCAAATTTTACATGACACTATTTGGGTCTGAGAAGTGTAGGTATAGTACAGCGAAAACTAACAAAATAGGCTTGGAAGGAAAGCAAAGAATTTAGGGGATTAATTACATAGGTAACTCTTTTTCTTTTGTTTTACAATCTCTTGAGTGGAACTACTCTGTGGCAGTTGTAAGTTTTTCCTGGTCCATGTGGTAACATTTTCTTCAATATCTGTTCACAGAGAACCTTGCCCTTGGGAAGGCTACAACTCAGTCTTCAACATTCAACAATACTGGTGACAATGTTTATGGTGTGTCTGGAAATGCAGTGGATGGAAATTCTGACACTAATTTTTTAAAAGGAAGCTGTTCATATACTCAGAAAGACAACCCCAGTTGGTGGAGGGTTGACCTGGGTTCAAACCTTGTTGACGTCTCTGAAGTTCATATAGTCAACAGGTTCTCACAGCATGTGGTTACTGAATACTACAAAATAACATTTGGTGAGTTTTGTGATCCACTGATTGAATAAGAGGTCAACCATGCATACATCATCTTGTAATCAACTGCTAAACAACAAGACAGTTTAGATGTGACAGAAATTTGTGAAACCTTTGCCAAGCTGTAATGACCTTGTTATTAATTAGCCCAGATGTTTTGATCTTGTAATTGCTCAGTCAATATAGGGCTTCTTCAGTTTAAGATTTCCACCAAGGGTCTTACTCTTGGTTACTTGAAGAGTTCAGTTAGTAAATGTCAATGCAGGGACTGGAGTCCTAGAACCAGGGTACCCAAGTGTCAGCACTAGTCTACACTTCACGAGGGACACTCAGAAGTTTACCCTTAGTAATAATTTTTTTACCTGGCCAGTCTATTAAGGATACTCTGAGACTTGCATAATGAATGTGATGAAATCCTTGTTTTTAATATGCCAAATAACATTTCCATGATGTTTTCTTTACTGGAGAGTCTATTATAATTAATTAGGTATGCCACATAGAACCCAACTCTATATGTAATTCTGACTTTTAGTGCCTCAAAATCTGCAGGTAGCTTTCCTAATGTTGCGAGCAACACCCTCTGTGAAGGGCTCTATGATTTTCATAACTTCACTGCATCAGCTGTTTGTTTTACCAAGCCACTGAAAACTGGTAGATATGTTGGCATTTTAACCACACAAGAAGAAAATCTTCAGCTGTGTGAGGTGGAAGTCTATTCACGTGGTAACTTTTCACTGACTCTTTATACTAAACTTAATACAGTGGTGAAGTCCCTTTTCCTCTTTTGAAAATTGACTCATCCAAGACTTTCATGTATCTCAAAACATATACCAGTACACTCTTATTTTGGGTAGAATGAATGGATTTATGTTTGCATGTTGAGTGTGCAAACTGTATTTATGATAATTACTACAGCCAAAAGTCACATTGAATTTTAAGTTGCACAAACTTGAAAGCCTTGAAAAGTTCTCCTGAGTTAATAATTATTTTAGGAAACAATTGAATGTAATGAAAAGAAGATAAATCAACAAGTGCCCCTTGAATGTATTCTTGGAGGGTGGTTAAATTGAGACTCTTGTCTAACCTCACAGAAATCCTTTATTTGGTATTTGAAGATATGTGTAATGCGACAATTTTCCTTTCTTGATATTTGGGTCTCAAAATTTACCTTTTGGTTTGTTGCCTTAAGAAGTGTGGAAGAATGGTGCAATTTATATTCCAGTATGTCAGCAATTTTAAATCTTCAATCAATCAAGCAAGCAATATAAGTATGTCATGATTAATTAATCTGTTAAGTATCACATTGTAGCTTGAGAATGGAGTCCCTACTAAGTAGAAAAAAAATGCCATAATTACAATGGAGGTTTTTTTTAAAATTTACACCTACACCTGTACATGACTTTTTTCCAACATTGAAATTATTGTGTTTCCAGCTTTTTGGCAAAGGCTGGTACATCTTTTGGCTGTTCAAAATGTAATATCTACCATCAACCAGTTTTTTTAAAAATGCTGTTTGTTTTAATTTTTCCATACAATGTACAGTGTAACAAACATATTCAATACAACTCAACACAACTGTCATTCAATGATCAGTATGTGGACAGTAATCATCTTTGTCCAGGGAAACATTTCCTTTTGTATGTGTACATTTTCTCCTAGAAAATCTGGCATTTCAAAAACCAACATATCACCATTCAAGGTCAGTAGACAATGGCACAAGTGATAAAGCGGTTGATGGAAATAGCAATATGATCTTTGCAGATGGATCATGTACATTTGGGGCAGGTGACGAGTTTCCGTGGTGGAGAGTGGATCTAGGACAAGATGAGTTTGTAACTGAAGTCTATATAGTCAATATACAGGGTCAAACTCGCCTGAGTAAATTTGAGATCAGAGTTGGTAGGTTAATACATGTGCAGTAACTATTACTTTTGAAGTAGTCATTTATGCACTCTTAACTTAATGTCTTCAGGAAAAAAGGGGAAAATGTTATGCTGTGGTTTTCAGCATCGACAAAAGCTGGATTGGACTGGATCAGATCACAGGCAGGATCAGGATAGGATCACAGTTTGCGTCATGGGTCACATCACGGATCACATCACAGACCAAAAACAAAATTTGGAAAAATAAAAAAATTATATATCATTTTTTTAAAAATGATAATGAATAAAAAATAGGATTGAAAAACTTAAATATGTTAATTTTAGTTAGAAATGTTGTGTGACATGCCTGATTGAAATCTGTGTGACTTAAGAAATTGCTTTACCTGAATTGCTCACATGCATTTCAGCTGTCATATTTAAACCATTCTTACTCCTCACCTTGCCCCTTCTTTTGCATGTGGTTAGTGATATTGAATAAAGGAAAAGTAACTCATGCGATGATATTAAAAAAAGAAATAATAACTGAGTGGTGAAATGATACATACCTCTCGCTTGCCTTCATCTATGGCGGCACTACACAAAGCTGCTTGACACAGCCGTGAAAGTGGCTGCATGAAGTTTTGAGGCAAAAAAAACTTCCAGTGGGACTTGCACTCTATTATGTCATGTAGACTTTATTTTGAAGTAATTTGGTATTATTAATGAGGTAATGATGCAAATTGGCCATTGGTTTTTTAAAAGCTGCCGGATATTTGTAGCGGTAGCCCTTTGTCAGAGGGAAACATTTCTTTGTCATTCACTATGACAAAGGGCTAACACTTGAAGCATCATGTTTGAAAATCTTCAGGGTGGCCAATTTAATTACGTTATCAATTCAGTTGATAGTACCAAATTACCTTGTTATACTCTCCCACAGACACAGCACCACGGTTTTACCCTCATTTATTCATATATTTTATTTATTATTAAATTATTTCAAAACAATTTTATTAATTTATTTTTCAAATCTTTTTTTTTTGCGATTGGTGATCCAATCTGTGATCTGGTCCGTGATCCGATCCAATCTGATCCAGGTTTTGTCAAGGTGTCACCATTCTTATTAACCCACAGCCACAACTATTTCTGCATGAACATGTATCATATAATTGCTGTTAGGTTCAGATGTTGATGTTTTGATTTGACAGTTGTACTCATACATACTCATTCAAGGTTGTGCTCTGCTTGAGCCTGGTTGCAAAAAGGAATTGTGTTTGAGGCTGTGGCTGTGGCTGTGCTCATTTTACTTTCTTCTCAAGTTTGATGTATGATTGTGCTCATTGGCTAAAATCATTTGTTTCTTATTGTTCCAAATGATTTAACGATAAACGTGTAACAGTCTCTGAGAAATGGCACAAATGTAAATATGTGCTATTTTTTTGATTAAGTGTATTACTTTATAATCCATTTTTATGCTTTTGATTCAAATCACTCAATCATACATTTACCAGTGTAAGAATGAAGTTTAGTTTATGAAAGATTTTCTCTGCAAATTAGTCATGTTTTCTTGTCACTTGATATATTGTCTTCACTGAGTTTTGTGGCCTGTACACAGTTTGTTATATTTTTCCTGAATAAACTCAGTGATGATGAAATGACTGCTCCCAAATGACAGCAAGGAGGAATCTTAAAGTTTATAATTTCAAGGAACAGGAGCAGTTTTGATAATTGAGGGGCTACATAGAAATTTTAGTGGGAGCTCAGTCTTGATGATGTGTAAAATAACTGTCAGAGAATCATGAGTATTGGCAGGGATTACGTAGCTTATTACAAATAATAATGCTAATAGCAGTATCTATTTCTGGTAATTGGCCTGTATTACTTAGTATCATGCCTTTGTTATGTATAACTTTTGTGAGTCAATCTAGCCTACACACTAGAAAAAGGGCAGATTTTATTGAGGCAAAGGCTCACCAGTGAGGTAAATCTGACTTGTTTTGAAGGTGAATATCACTATTTGATCAATATATATGAATTATTTTACAGTCATCTCTTTTACGTTGTTTGTACTTTTTATCAGTGATTTATTGTTATGGTATTCTTTCAGGCACAGTATCAAGTATTACTGATATTAGTATGACTAGTCCCAAATGTGGTAGGGCTGCTACTCATCACGTCCCTACAGGAGAAAGTTTGTCATTCTTCTGCCGTCCTAGTTTGAAAGGAAGATATGTCACCATCAGGGATCTTAGGGGTGGTCCTTCAGGATTCAATCTTTGTGAAGTTGAAGTGTATTCAGAACAAAGAGGTATGGCATATCTGAATATTTTGAAGAACTACTATTAACTGCCACCTTATTCAGCTGGGGTTCCAATCTGCATTCTCAGGAAAATTTGCCATCTAATTTTTATATGTAGACATGTAGGTACTTTAATATTGTTAAATAAATGTATAGTGGCAATTTGTAAGAATCCTATGGGTGTGTGTTATTCTGGCCGCTAGAAATTACCGATGGTGTTTTTTTCTTTAATTAGAGGCCAAAAGTTGACAAAGATAATTTTTTTTTTATTTCTGAGCCTTGAGTTTGCACTGAATTTAAATGACAGTTCATTACACAAATACCTCAAATTACTGATAAAATCACTTGGGGCATGTTTAGATGGTGCAGTTCACTTATGATTGTTACTTTACATGTATGATAAACTGATTCTCTGGGTTGAAACCACAGTTTATGGTAATTATGATTGTCTTTTAACAGCATGTCATAGTCAGGCCATTGGTGTGACCAGCAGTGATTCAATTCCAGACAACAGCATCTCAGCCTCAGTACGTGCAAATAGTAACCGCGAACCATGGTTTGGTCGTCTGAATAAAATTAGCCGGGGTTGGGCACCAGGCCGTCTGAATGATCCTGACTACCTACAAATTGATCTGTTGTACGATTATGTTATCTGTGCTATAGCTACCCAAGGAGCTAATGATATTAATCAGTGGACAACAAAGTACATAATTCTGTTATCATTGAATGATACCACCTTTGACATTTATAAAGAAAACAACACTGAGAAGGTCAGTTTGATGTAATTGAAATGTCATGCTAAACGTGGTTGATTTTTTTTGTCATTTTTTTAATATTTTGCTCATGCATTTATTTACATAAAAGTACACTTTAGCTTAGGCCTAATTTTATGTAAGGCAAAATAATAATGGACAGTTACCTGAGAGCATTTGGGTTTGTGTAAAGTTGAACCAGTTTTAATACCAGGTCAAGTATCGGAGCTGGGAAATGAGTGAAAAAACTGAAACAAGCTTCATAGGTCAGATCTTTCAGACTTTGAAATGATTTTCTTCTAAGGCGTAATGTAGATGACTGTATGATAACCTACTAACATCAATAGTTGGTGTGGCCCACAGCTCTGATTTAAAATGACTCATTTTGCTCGATCAAATGATTTAGAACTATATTAGAATTAGAGGAGTAGATTATCCTCTTTCATCACTGTTTCAGTGATTGTGTTTGTTACATTTTTAGTGATTGGATGTAGGCTTGTGGAAAATTCAAAGCTAAGGAAATCTGCTGTCACTTGTGCATGGAAAGTTTAAATATTCTTGTACTTACAGTACAGCTCACACTGTATGCAAAAAGCAGTTTAAAAAAAGTGTGCACAGGTGTAGTGTAGTGGTGTAGTGTTATGTTGGAGAAGTGAATAAACATGTCCATGTTGATCACTGTTCATTTTTATTTATTTGGACACATGACTTGCTTTTGCAGAAAGCATCATTCAGTACTTTTTTGGCAACATTTGATATTTTAGGTCTTTAATGGAAACTCTGGTGGGAAGGAAATAGTAAAACATGGTCTGAAGGAGTATGCTTTGGCGAGGTTTATCCGTTTTGTGCCAACAGAATATCATGGTCATAAGACATTAAGAGTGGAAGTTTATGGAGTGCTTCTATCAACAGGTACTAATTCTATTTTCTCTGTACCATGTACCATATCATTGATATCCTACAAGTGTTAGGAAAAAGTGGAAGGGGATATTATGACTTACCTTACTTATTTAGAATGTTACATAAAATCTCACAGCCTATACTCATACACCAGGCAAATACTTTATCCACAGCCATATTTTCAAATAAAATGTATTTCTTCATATCATACCACAGAAAATATAGCCAATCAGAATTCAGGAATTCAATTGTATATATGGTGGTATTGTGCCCACTCCTTGTATTGTGTGCTCTGATCTTATTCCTGTCAAAATCAAGCATGTGATACCATTTCTAGTGTATTTCAAGTGCTGTTTGAGTCATGTCAGAACCAAATTCTTCCCTCAACATTAATGTTCAGGTAATGACAAAAAACAAGTGACTTGTGGGATATTCCATGGTATACCACTCAGCATTGCATTGCATAAGGAAATCAGATTAGCATTTAGTCACATCTTTAATGGCACTCATTTAATCCATCAGGGATTCATTTAGTCACTGAGGTTCACTTCATGTCAGACTTGAAAGAGCTTGAAATTCTGACTTGCAAGGTTTTAGGGAGGACACAACCACTGTGATACTACAGAAATAAACTTCATCATTATTAACAACTTTCATCTTTGTTAACCAATTCAGTTCCTTTATAGGCACATGACCATTGTGAAACTGTATAATTAAAATACCTTATAATCATTTTATTCAACACTCCAGTTCCATCACAAGCTCCGGGCAACTTCACTGTGACTGCTAAGTCATCTACTAGTCTACGAGCATCGTGGGCATCACTGCCAGAATATGCCAGACATGGAACAATAACAGGTTATAAGGTGTTTTACAGACAGAAGGGCTCAGCGAACAATTCAGTCGTGGATTCTGTTATTGGAGCAGGAATTTTAAGTAAAGATTTTTCTAATCTTAACAAGTATACCAAATATGAATTTCAAGTGTTGGCCATGGGATCTCGTGGTGAGGGACCAAAAAGTCCTGTAATGGTTGGACAGACACTGGAAGATGGTAAGAGGCTAAAACTGAATAGTGCAGGTTTTAAGAAACATTTTTTCCAAAAAAACACACAGCTTTTTTTCATGAGACTGGAATATACTTCATGTGTACATCTTGCCAGGTTTATTGTATTGATATTATGCATGATATTGTCAGAGTTAAGCTATTATAATTATTAAGAGTTAACTGCCCTCTGCAGTTTAAGTGAACAGGTAAAAGTGCATCATCTAATTTGTAAATTTTTTTCTATGAAAGATCAAGTTTATTTCAGTACAGTTTAAATAATAACCTTCATCTTCCATTTCTTTACTACTTTAGCACCAAGTATTCCTTCAATTCTTTCTCACTCTGAGATAAAACCAGATAAACAAGTTGGTCCAAAGTTAAAGCTCACCTGGCATAAGCCAGCAGAAGAAAATGGAATTATCAAGAGTTACACTGTTTTTTATAGTCATGATGAAGATCCTCATAATATTAACACTGAAACCTTAGGAGGAAACATGTTAAGTTACACAGTAGATGTGTTAGGTGGGGCCACCTATCAGTTCCACGTCAGAGCTGCAACAATCAAACCTGGACCAAATGCAACCTTGTCTGTTACTATTAATGATTATGGTAGGTGTAAATTAGAAAAGATTATGATCAATAGGCCAGTTCTGATATACTAAAATTCTAACATAGCTCCGTTGCTAAGGGGAATTATTACTAAAAAAACTAATTATTCATCTCACAACCTCCGTGTGATTTTTTTTGGTTTATTCCCCTCACCCTCGGCACCAAGTTTGAATTTTATTACATTGAAAATTGCCTATTAAATTCACTTTCAACTTTAATGTTATCTGATAAGTGTAGATGGTAAGTTATATCAAGGTAGACAAATAGAGAACAGCTGCATTACAGGAGTGGTACAGGAAGGACTCTCCTTATCAACTCCAAGTTCTTTCCAAGATACATGTAGTATTGAAGGACTGGTGAACATGATTGTATTCAACATGAATGACTACATACCTAAAAAAAATAAAAATGTGATGAAGGGGAAAGGAGGAAAGAATTACTGAAATACAATTTAGATAAACTTTGAGGATAAATTTTTGATCAAATGTGATTCAGAAATAATTATTTATTAAATTTTTTGTTCAATGACAGACAGCTGACCATTTATCTGAATTGGTATATTTTTTTATTCCCTTTTGTCAGAACCCAGTGTAGCACCAAATGATGTGTCTTTCAGTAGACTGAACCAAACAACCTTCAATATTTCATGGTCACCCCTGACAAGAAAAGAGAGTTATGGCAAAGTTATCTCATATGAGGTCAAGATATCATTGGTGTCCTCTGGAAGTCGACAAAAGAGATCTCCAGCCAACAGCAAAACTGTTAACACAACAAAAGCATTTGTTATCCTGTATGATATTCAGCCTTGTTACAATGTGTATGTCCGAGCATACACTAAAGCTGGCCCTGGACCATATGGTCAACCCTTACCTCTGGAATTGAGTAAGTTTCATTTTTTTTCCCACAAATTAAATGTAGAGCATGCAAAATTTTGCTTCAAACTCATTAATTTAGACCGTATAGAAGCTTGATGTTTAGTCTGATTCAAAATCACCAGTAAGAGTAAGAAAAGCAAGGCATTTTGGCTGTCTTTGGTTGTAGCTTAATTCGGCTAATAACCAGGAAATTGATTAATTGAATAGGGGGTGATATTCAAAATGCACCCCCTGGTGTACCTAGAGAAACAAGTTGCAACGTTTCCCATAAATTTTTCATTGCAAATAGCTGTACATTTTAACTCACAATCACATTATTTAATATGTTCTTATTACAACATGGACTATTTGTACAAATAAAAAAACTACAGAAAAAGTAGGAAATTAATAAAAGTGCATTTACTGAATACACAAAAGAAGAAACTTACTCTGGAATCTAAAAAAGCTATGATACTTACATTGTTTTACTTACTAATATGACAAAGTACCAGGGGCACCCAACAATCTGAGGGCAACAGACTCTCAGTCAACAGAGATGACACTGGAATGGGTGAGACCCCAACCTGCTATGGAAGAAAAGTGGAAGGTGAAATTCTTAATTTTTAAGTCTACTTTGCTGTAAAAACATGGATTTTGACAAATTTTAATACAACTCTTTTAAGTTGAGAATCAGAAACTACTATTTTTGTGATTTTTGTAATTCCTAACTTAAAGAGTGTTTTTAACCCTTAAACTCTCTAGATCTCATTAGTAATTCTCTTTACTGTCTGCCATACTATTCTTATGATGTTAGTTTGGAGAAATTGGTATTGGATCAACTAATAATCCCCTGATCAATATTTTACGTTATTCTCATCACTCCTATGCTTGACATTGTATTGAAATTGTTAGGGGAAATTCTGTCTTGATCATTCATGGGAGTTAAAGGGTTAAAGGAGCACTGACGGAAATGACATCTGTCGTAATGAATATAATGCATAAGTGTACTAGAGAACTGGTACCATCAGTATGACTACCATTTAAGAGCAGCTTCTGTAATAGTTACTGTAATAAGTGAGAGGAGTTATATGTACATGCACAGCTATATGTATATACATAAAATTAGGGTTTTTTGTTTTGTGCTGTGATCACGAAAATGCACGTCCACGTGGGAGATTTTATTTGTAAATAAATTAGTGCAGGTGTGGTATTTACTGTATCTGCCTTTGACTCAATTGTTTGATTGTTAAGGTTGAGTACTCTGGGAAAAAGTTTTACAACAACAGCTTTTCACACGAAGGCAGCAAAGATGTACAGGGAACAACAAAATATACCCTTGATAATTTGGTACCAGGTACCAAATATGACCTTCGGGTTTATGGAATCTCAAAATGTGGAAACAACGGATTCCCTTCATCTTTGGAAGTAGAAACAAAAATAGGAGGTAAGCAATAACATGCAGGTAACCGTTTGACCCCAAGAGTGACTAACATCTAATTTCTCCTTACAATATCACCCCTGAATCACACAATGTGGTCACAAGAATAAAGGAAATGATCACCTACTTCTGATTAGGAATGTATGGGATCAGTATGGAGAATATGCATCTTGAAATTGATGTAAATATTTTGCGAATCATATTATTATATTTATTTTATTCCCAGAGCCATTGGCTCCAGTTGTACTATCACTGACCACCAGGAAGGTCGCTGAGTTGCAGGCTGAAATTGATCTGTGGCCTGCTGAACAAAGGAATGGTCCAATAAGGTGATGGTTTTATAGTTTGTGTCACAGATTAGCTAAAAGCATAAACTATTAATGATAAACTCACCTGAGAAGGACACAATTCTTGCTTTCACTGTGCACATAATGATGTTAATCTTGTGTACATAGTCCATGATATGAGAAAGATACAATGTCTTAATTAGGTCTTTCGAACTTAAGTTGCAATACCAGACTGGGTAAAAGTCTCCTTGTTGACTGTAACGTTAACAAAACGCCAGTTCTGCAATCAACAACATTTCTGTTTAGGAATATTCTTCCCAAGACAATCAGATCGCACAACTGGCTACTATATTGAACACAAACACATAACTGTCTTGCAAAGTCTCTCGCAAAAGTTCCTATGTGCTTAACTCAAATCATTAAAGACCATCAAACAGCCACCACCTTTCAATACGGCGATGACCGCAATAATGTTGACCAGAATTTTGTTCGTTTTTATTATTTCAGTGCTTATCAAATAATCATTCTTAAAGTCTCTGATTGTGTTCAAGAGCTTCCCAGGGATTTTGATTTGAAGCTGAAAGATTTGAACGACAAAAATTTGAACTTTTATCCGTTTTACATTGCTGCGGAAATCGAAAATGATCCTGTGCGTGAGAAATCTTGGAAATTTACTGTTGGTGACGGGAAATCTTATGGAACTTTTATCAACAAAGAACTGACGAAAGGAGAAAACTATTTTGCCTATGAAAGAGCCATAAGTCGTTTCAATGGTGTAAGTAAATTTGGGTGTTGTTTAATTGTTCTTTAATTTAGAATTGATAATCTAAACATAATATCCAATCGATGAAGAAAAATATTTTGGACACAAATCATGTTGTTACGTACAGTCATACTTGCTGTTAGGGTTAAATCTCATTTTATTATATCAGTGAATTTTTGAGATGTGTTTGTAACTTTTTGACCATGTTTGGTTCGCTTTTTAGCAAATTTTGGAAGGATATGCCAGTAAAGTGGCCTTGATATCTGTCACACCAGGTATGCGAGTTAACACTCACGTGAGACTTGAAAGTAATTTCTCTACCTTTTCAGTTTAGTGGGCTGTTATCTTCCATGAAAGCTTTGTGACTAGTGAGTGAAACTTCCTCTTTGGCAAAAGTCAATTGTTTAATTACAGTTGCTTGGGCAAATTGGAAAAAAGTTAAACTCAAGTTATGGCAGATCCTTGTTGAAGTTTGCCACTGTTTGAAAAGTTCGGCCTGTGAACAGAAAACGATAGTGGCCTTATTTCTCCCCTTCAATCAAATAAGTTGGGTTTAAAACCTTAGCCTTTGCAGATTACGAAAAGCAAACTAACCTACCACCGTTGTTTCTGTGTTTACTAGATAATTCTTATTCCGGTCTGCATTTACATTTGGTCACCTTGCAATTCTTATCATAATTATTTTTATTAGTATATTTGTTATTCTATTTTCACTTAAATGTAAATTTTTTTTTAAATGTAAAATTCTGATTACATTAATAAAAGCGCCTTAATGCTTCCAGCTCTATGATGAGAAGGGCCATAATCTGGGTTGAGAGCAGGTTTTTTGTTCTCGTTTCCCCTTCTATGAATTTTAATGCTTAACTGTTGTTTTCTTTCAATTTGCAGAGTCACTTAAATATACTAAAGAAACCATAAAGGGAGATGCCAGTAAGTATTGTGGGGACACAAGAAGCTGGTCTTAAATTTTTGATAAAACAGCGCTAATAAATCCATAATTAAACAGCATGTTGGAATAATCTGCTAATAAACATTTGATTCCTCTCAAAGCTATCACTTGATTCCTTCATTATCTTCTCCAATTTTAATGGAGACAGAGATTTTCATATCTGGTGTAAATCTCTCTTATTTTCTAACAGGTGAATGCCAAATTCTTCGAGCTGCTGTCATCGCTCTTTGTTGCATTGTTTTCGTCTTGCTCATTGTGATTGGTGCGCTAATATGGCGGTTGAGACGAACTGAGCCTAACAAAAAAGCAACCACAGTAAACAGTGGTATCCCTGCCCCATCTGGTGGTCGTCAAGTGTCAGAGCCTAGTGTTTATATGGAACTCCACCCCAGGCCTTCGGAAGGGAAGTCACGTGAACCTCCTGAGTACCAGTCATTGCAGGACACTCAAGTGACTTCCAATTATTACAATGTGGGATTCAAGAGAGAAAAGTTAGGGAAGATAGACGGCGGAATGTAAGAGAATACAGACGGTTTTTTATTGAAGACTTGGTTTAACGATCAGAACGTTCGTAAAAGCCCAACCACATGATGAATTTCCGTAAGAGACTAACTCTATAAAGAAATTTCGTGGAAAAATAGACCGTGTAATTAAACAAAGCAATAATTAGGAAAATTTTTATCTTGCAAAGTAGTAGTAGTAATCTTTAATGAGGATGCCAACGTCACGAAGTGGTTTACAAAAGGGTTCTCAGAAGAATACTAAGTTTAGATTAAGAACCAGTTAAACATACAAAAATGTAAAAGTTTAAAAGAGTATATACAATTATCAAGCATCAAATATAACCAGTTAAAAATACAGGAATGTAAAAGATAAAAAGAATATACAGAGGGTAAAAAGCAAAGAATGTCGTTAAGAATCAAAGACAACTTTGGACAGGCCACGTTTAAAAGCAGGCAATGACTCTGCATTCCTTAATGAAGTGTCTAAGCCGTTTCATATATCGGCGCTAAAATTTACTGACGACCAATGACCCCATCTTCTTGTGGCACTAGATTTGCGAATGTCATTTCTCGATCTTGTGTAGTAACTATGAAAATCACCATTGAATGTGACAGGGATAGAGTGACAGAAATGGTTGTTAATCAATTTATACGTAAAAATACCATGATGTTCCTTTGTACGTCGCACTGCATTATTATAGTTAGCCTTTGTTGTGTACCTGATGACATTCGCCCACATATTAACGGGGCAGGGAAACATACAAACTTTTATACAAATTGTAGGAGTAACGCATGACAACTGAATTACCTTATGTACCGGTAATCGCTCATTGTGAATGAAATTACATGCAGTAGAGTGTAGAAAGGAAAATTTTGAAATGACTCTGAGTCACTTTTAGCCATGTTGGTCTTAAGGGGAAACGATTTACCCCGAATTGTGGCCTAAGAATTGGGTAAAATGTATGGGAAGGCGAAGAGATGCTCAGCCAGGAGAAAGTGCTCTTTAAATAGAACAACCAAATTTCAATACTGTGGTAGGAAATAAGAAGGGACTCGCGTCTACACTTTCCTGGATGAGCCAAAAAAACTGCCTCTTCTGTAGGTTATCTTCCTCTGCTGTCAAACAACTACTTTCGAACATTTTCAAACAGTTTTCGAGTGTAACGTAGCATGGTATGCAACACTGGCGATATCAGTTAAACCTTACGGTTTCGTATCTTCTCACTGGTCTGTTAATCTTTGTTTTTGTGAGAAATCTTAGGAATACAGAGATTCTAGGCTTGTTTTTGTGAAGGAATAAGTTTCTTCAAAAATTGAGAAGGATAATTAAATTAGAAGCGATAGTTTTACAAGAGATGTGCTAGAAAGAAAAAAAAAGAAAAGAAGAACAAAGATGGTTAGTGAAAGTGATATTCAGACCGATTAACTCTTAGGACCAACAGAAATAAAGGAGGTAAGTTTCTGAAAAAGCTGTGGTACTAGGTGGGTAGGGGGTATAACCTGATAATTTGGTTTTATCAACTGAGTTTTCAATGTAAATTGGCCGCCGTAAAGAGTTTCTTAAGAGATTCTCTTTAAACTGTGGCCTCACCTTGTCAAGATACACAAGGAAAAAAACATTCCCACGACATTTGATCATAAGTTTGCCTTTTTAGATTCTTACGGAAAAATTCATTTTAATGAAGATTAGTTATAAATGTTTCAGCACACAAATCATAATTGACAAGTTTACTTTATAACTAGTGACGTTCACACCAAGAAAAAATGAAAAACAAGAAAATAATTTAGACTTCCGGTAAGAGTCTTATGCCTGTAGATCATCCCTTTAAAATAGAGGAATCTAAACCCGTATTGTCAACGCGTCGTCTTTCGGCACACTGCTGAAACTCCGGGAATATATACCATAATGAGTTTAATTGTATTTTGGCAGATGAGCTCCAACGGAGAGAATGAACTTTTTAAGATGCATATATGTTATTTGCCGGCTGGGAGGTCCGTATGGTGAAAAACTAAGACCTCGGTCACAGTTTTTCACCATACGGACCGACCCTTAGCCGGTAAATAACATATTTATTGTTTTTTAACTTGACGAAATTCTTTCCGAAAGAACCCGAATGATTTATGGACGTAAATACGGCAAGATCTTCCATAAACTGAACAATTTTTGAGTGGGTAAATGGTAGTTAAAATAGAGGTGATGCAAATTTAAGAGAGATGCCTCAGCGAAACATTTTCATTTCCGTAACGATAAAGGTGATTTAAAAGGCTTTCAAACAAACTTTGAAACATTATTTTTACAAGTATCTGTCACAATCTGACACCTGTCTATTAGAGAGCGCGCAAGAAAAAAAAAAAAAAGCGTAGGAACATTTGAAAACCAACAGAACTAGTTTGGCATGGACTGTCACGACAATGTTTTCTTCAAAATCAGTTAATGATCTAACGGAAAGTATTATTCACTCTCATCGACCATTCATTCATGTACGAAGATTTACCTCTGTTCATTAAGTAAACGGCGACGAAAGTAATTGTGAGTAAATTCAATTTTTTTATTTTGAAGTTGTGAGAGTTTGCTCGTTTGTTTGCTGTAATGACGTGTTTAACTCTGATCTTTCCTTTACAAAAACTAAATTCGAACGGCACACTCCAACGAGACACAAGGGAATGTAATGCGGCCTTTTCTCAAAAAATTCCTTCAATTTCTGTTGTGCAATTTAAGGTACAAATGTCCAAATTGAACGGAATTGGAAAGACTCACCAGGAGCGTATATTTGTTATAGAACTTAAATTAAAACTTCGCTCGCTCTTTCACTATGAACAAATTGCTCGAGAAAATTCAGATATTAAATGAATGAAAGTTCCATCGTTCAGTTTAACTGTAACCAAATACCTCACGTTTCAACTTTCTGGGTACTTTTTGTGAACGATTAAAATTAATTGCAGACGGTTTTTAGGCCGCTTGTCAACCAACGTAATGACACTATTGTTTATACAAATTCATTCTGAAACCAATATTTTTCGGTCAACCAAAGTGATTTGATAGAGAGAAAAGAGAGGATTCATAAGTTATTTATCGGCTTGAGGTAGTGACCGACGTGTTTGCTTAAAAATACTGCCCAGCCGGAAAACGAGGTATATTTATGAAAAATGACAACGAAAGTTGGGATGTACTCGGCGACTCACGAAAGCGTTACCGTGGCCCGTGGGCAGAGATAGGAAAATACTGACCGGGTAAAGAACCAATCAGATTGCAAGATTCGTTACCGTGCCCCCTAAAAAAACAATAAAAAAGGTTATTGAACTGAAACATCAGGTGTCTGCAACGTTTCAGTTTCTCAGTGAGTTATGAAGTAACAACAGCGGCGAAATGTCGGAGTTTGATTCCGGGCTGTACTTCCAAGTGGCTTTCTTCGCTTTTCTTATTCCTCTAGGTTCCGGTGAGTTCTCTATCATTTATAATCTGTGCATACGAGTTAAGATCTCAACGAATTCACAGATTGTTTTTCGCAGTGACTCCATAGATATGAAGTTATTAAATTCCATTTCATTGCCGTCAATTGACAAACTGTCGGGTCCGACCGAAAAATCCCATGTGA